TTTATGGAAATTGACAGTGAAAAAAAAAATGTATTTCCACATGATAACATGGTTTTAATTTTGCTGGTTACGAAAAGTATAGTCTAAAAGAAGTTTAAAATAAGAATAAACACAAATGCATTGCTTAATAATAAATAATCTAATCAGGTTGTGTTCAACTAATAAATAACTTATTACTCAGTAGTGATTATAATGTACAAAAACTCAATTCATTTGTTATATAATGCAAGTAAAATTTGACTTTGTTTTTATCGGTCACTCACAAATGCTTGATGAGGATTGATATCGGCCATGTTTTTTCCAGACAAAAGTTAACCAGAAACTGGGTTCTTTGATCTGATAGGTCAAGCTAATTTGTAACCAATCAGAATGCTGGATGGTGCCAACATGTGCCAACATGGCCATAGCTTATTTAAATATGTTAATGAAGTAACCTCACTGAATTGTGAACGCAACACGGGAAAGATTTACCAATGTAGTACTGAGAAATAAACTCTTTCCAGTGATAACCGCTCATTATCGTAACATTATCGAGTTTACTCATTCACGCTAGTAACAATAAACATCATACTCGTGAATAGACATCCATGACTAAAAAAAATACGTCAATTGAATTTAAATTCCAGGAAAAATTGAAATGTTCAAAAAAATTACACTTAAAAACTACACCTAAATTAGAATATTTATGGTACAAATTCTTGCTTGCTGGGACAACATCAAACGTTTAATGCAGAATGAAAAACTCACCCAAATAAATTATTACCATACGAAAAAGATTTTATTTTAGAGCATATAGATTGCCAATTTGCTAAATAATGACACTTTGTATAATTTGTGTCGTCATTTTATTTTGATGATACTGCACAAATTGAACATGCAAATTAAGTTTGAAGGGGGGGGGGTCCTTCATTTAAATGTTGATGTTGCTTCTTACTGCACGCTGTGTCTTATAGTGGTACTCTTCCTTTGTTGTATTCTTTGGGGGCTAGCTACTGACGTCGTACCACTGTATTGTGTATTTCTATGGGCTTTGCATTATCTGCTATGGGAACAGCTACAGTCAGTAAGCAGCACAAATTCAACTATAAAACAATCATGAACAACAAATTTGTAGAGATAATCTTGTTACCCTGTCCAAAGTAGATGTTTTGGTCTTGTTTTCACCGGATGTGATTGCTAGGACATAAAAAGTCTAGATGTTCTCACCCGAAAATAGAAGCTTATGTTGCATATATTGCTACAATGTTATGGTGAACAGTGATGAAATAGTTTTTTATTTTTGAAAGTATTGATGTCAACATTATTTTTTCTCAATTTTGCAATCGATTTCTCACCTATCATCTGTAGAGCTCTATTTCCTTGTATCATTTCGTCTCATTGACATTCTTTCTATTCTTCAACTACTAAGCTTCATGATGATGAACTCAACAGACTTAAAAAGGTAAGACTTCATCGTCACTTGATTGGAACACAATATAAAATATGTAACACTAGAGGGCGCTGCAACTATGACACATATCATGTTGCATACAAACACTTTGACTTTTATCACAAAATAATATTTGCAGCTGATAAGAAATTTTGTGAAGTACACAATTTTGGGTCATAACTGTAGCATAAAAATAAATGGTGCTCAAATGATTAATTAAAATATTCAAACATAAAATAGCATTTTGTTACAAATGATATCACTAAGCGTCATTACGTCGTGTGACAATTTCATATGCTGCATTTTCAAAATATATAAACATTGATCTAAATATCTGATTACCATATTTTTCTTGTTTCCTTGGTTCTTTATTCAGCTCCTACTCTTCTTTTGTTTCTTTACTTGTGTCACCAATTTTTCAGTTTCAGCCAGTATTTTTTTAGTGGACACTCTATCACACTAATATCTCAAATTGTTTACTGTATAACTGGTAAATTAATTGTTTCTCAATAAATAGCCAGTTTTATTTTGATTTTTGTTTGGCTGCAGGATCACCAAGACCAAGTACGCCAGAAAGACAAGCTGATAATGGAACTACAAAATGAAGTACAGAAAAACAATAATATGTTGGAGCGGGAAAGAAAAGCACGAAAAGTAGATGCAGAAGAAAAAATTGTGAAACAAGGTAACCAGGCATTTTTTTTTTATTGTTGGTGTGTGATTTATGGAGAAGGGTTGATCTGACTGTGCTTTCAAATTAATCCAAATTTTGTATTTGTATTATATACCTTTTTCTGTTTTTCTCTCTTTAGAAACGATTCTTACACAAACTGCTTCCAGGGACTATGAACTGCAGCATCTGAAAGACAAACAGATAATGATGGAAGAGGATAAAAATATTTTAAATGAAAAGGTAAGTAGAATTCACAGATCAAACATATTTTAATAACATCACATATGATAACTTATTATGATATATAATTCCTAAGAATCATAAAATATGGCAAACTTCTTATAGATTTCTCATAAGAAACATCACCATGAAAAAGTTTTTAAGATTTGCCAGATATCTTTCTTATAAATTTCTTATAAGAAAAAATTGGGAACTAAATAATAAAACAAAGTAAGAAATTCATGAGATTGTCTGAATAACTTTGAATAGACATTTCATGCACTACTTATAATGATAAAAACAAGTGAAAAATTACAGATATTTTGAATAATTTGTTTATAAGTTACTTAGATGAAAACTTTGTTATGATTGGAACCAAGTATGACATTAAAATATTTTTGGTATATCTGTGTAAACTTATAAGAATCTTGAACAAATATCTTATGGACTTATTATAAAGCTAAAACCAAGAATAAAACTAAATGCATAAAATATTATACTCTTACCCATGAAGCTTTGCAATTTAGTTTTTGCCTTGAATTGTTTTTTAGGAACAATTTTAATTAACTTGTTAAAAAATACATTGAAAGTCTTACAGCTAGTATTATTTAAAAAAACATAATTCAGTTTCCATGAAAGAAGTAATTATTTTTCCCAAATATCATCTCAAACAGAATATAATTAGGAAAACATTAGGAAAACTCTAACTACAGACGATTCCTTACCAGATCTTTGGAATACTTGTTCATTTGCATATTTTTTCTATAAAGGGAGGTTTAATTTGTTTTGCAATTTCTGACCATCTTGCAATTTGTGTGACTTTATATTGAGATCTTTGGTAATATTAGCTTTTAGGAACAAAATAATTAACTATGCGGGGAGGGTGATAATAAAAAAATAGACCATGGTGTGATGATTAGAGGCTATAATCTTTAGTTTAGTTATTTGCATAATGATATTGATATATTGTCATGGAACATCTTGTGAGTATTTAGACTCAGTTCAAGGCCTAGCAGTTGAGCAATAAACACCTTGGCTACAAGTGCTACTCTTCAGTGCATTATTCTTCTCCTGGATTTGGTGACCAATACCTGCTTGGTTCACTCTACCTTGAGAAGTCTGTTCTCAGTTTACTCATGGTAATAAGAATAATTGGAAACTGATTCAACATCAAATCAAATTTGATATTGGGGGAATACTATAAAATGCTCTAA